AAAAAAAAAAAAAAAAAAAAAAAAAAAAAAAAGGGTGAAAGGGATGGGGGGTGGGGGAATAAACAGAGACAGAGAGAGAGATCCTAATATTCTTAATAAGGTACCTGCCTATGAGCATGGCTACTTTCTGGTGCTCCTTCTACCCTCCCTAGGATAAGCCAATTGAGAAATAAATAACAAGGAAATGGAAGGAAGTGAAATGGAATGAACAGAAACAACTGGGCATGTCTAAATAAGGAAAGCTTTTTAGAAGAGGTGATATCTCAGCTGGGGCTTGAAAGATGAGTGGAAATACATAGAAAAACATGGGGGATTGATCTATAGCTTTGGACAGGGAACCAAGGCTTTGGGAAGGGAATATGTAAGAGGCTGAACAAAGGTCAGTAGAATCTTTAAGCAGGTAGACTTCCAGTAGGGAAGCTATAGCCAAACTGGTATTGAGAGCATGGAAAGATTGGTCACCACTGCCAATGGGCTGGGCTTTGTCAGCTAGTGGTCAGGGAAGCCTTAGACCAACCACAACCTAAGGAGGCTATGGCCAAAGCAGGCACTCCAGACTGGAGTACCATTCTACCTACCCTGTGTCCAGGTTGCTAGAACCTAGATTTAATCCTTTTCTTTATCCCTAGATTTCGTCTTAGCAGGAGTGTAGGTAAGACCAAAGTGGGTACACCTGCCCTCCCGTATGTCATGAGCCACCATCCTGGTATCCACAGGTTCCTCCCACAGAGCAGCCACATAGGGAAAGCATCCCTTTCATCTGGGCCTCCGCCTTGTAAGTCCCACTTGCATCAGTGTGTCCACATGCTTTTCACTGATCAAGATCCTCAGACTAGTCACTCAGTCTCATCTGTGGTCATTATTGCCAAGCTCATCTCTCATCTCTAATAAAAATGACTATCTGTTTAACCTTTGTCCTGCCCCTTTTTGCTTCCCATTTGTATACCTGACTGTATTCTGACATTTGAATGACATCACTCTCTCATTCACTTCCCTTCCACAATATTTTTTTAAAAAATTAACTCAGAAAAAAATGAGTAGTGGTTCATCAGAAGAGAAGGGAGGGGAGGGTATTTTAAGGAGGCAGAATAGCTTATGTAAGACAGATTCAGAGATGATTAGGTTTATCGAACAACTACAGATAGACCTTTAAAATGATCCAGCAATCCCACTTCTGGATATATACACAGAGGAATGGCGATCATTATGTCAAAGGGATACCTGCACTCCCATTTTCATCGCAACTCTGTTTACAATAGCCAAGACATGGAACCAACCTAAATGTCCATCGATGGATGATTGGATAAGGAAACTGTGGTATATATACAGCATGTAACACTACTCTGCCATAAAAAAGAATGAAATACTCCCATTTGCAACAACATGGATGAGCCTGGAGAAACATACTGAGTGAAGTAAGCAAAGCACAGAGGGATAAATACCACATGTGCTCACTCATATGTGGGAGCTAAGAGGGAAAGGAAGGAAGGAAAGAAAGACCAGAGTTGTGCATTGGTCTTGCAGAGGGAGGGAACATTCCTAGGGCTACAATGTGGAGTGGGGGAAAGGGGGAGGAGGAGGGAGGTTGGAGGATAATTGGGTGGGGGACATGGGGTACAAATGCAATTTCTGGTAATGGGTATGCTGCCAGTGTGAATCTGGCCCTCACATCATGGGCACGAGGAGTGACAATTAGCTTTGTATCTCATGAATATTCATAATAAAAAAAATGAAGAACCCCCCAAAATAAAATTTAGACATCCTGTAAATATCCAAATAAAATAAAATAAATGATTAGTGTTCCACGTTGGCTAAAATGCGAGAGTGAGAAGAGGGAAGCCTAACTGAAGGTCAGACCAGGAAGATAGATTGGAGCCAGATCGTGAAGGCCTCATATGACATACTAAGATATTTGGTCTTTATACTGTGGTCCATTGGGGGAAGGGATGTCATGGAAGACTTTTAAGCATGACTGCATATTCTGAGCTGACTGAGTTATAAAAAGATCACTCTGGTGGTAGTGGGGAAGATAGATGGGAGAGTAAAGACTGGAGGCAGGGAGACCTGTTAGGAGACTAGCTGCCCTGGTAAGAGTTGACCAAGTCCTGGCCTATGGTATTGCCAGTGGGAATGGAATAGAAGGGACAGATTTGAGATAGGCTCAATAAGACTTTACTGACTTTTCAAACGTGGGATGTTGGAGAAGGACCGAGAGAGAAAAAGCCTAACTTGGGCAGTTAAGTAGATGGTACAATAATTAAACGTGGAGGAACAGGTTTTGTGGGAAAGTCGTTATGCAAAATTTTGGACACAGTGATTTAGTAGACGCTGTGGGACATGGAGGTAGAGATGTCCAGTGGGTAACTGCAACTTAGGCTAGTAGTGGGGGCTGAGCCTACATAGATTTAGGGGTAGAACTGTTGAGTACAGCCACTGTATAACTGCAGAGGAGGGCATTCACATATACTACAGTGTGAATAGTAGCCCTTTGGGGAGAGGTCTCCAGTATTTGATGGTTATTGAAACCATAAATGGGAATAAGATCATTCAGAGCCTACTCTAAACAGACTTATGAGAGGAGAGAAAAAAAGAAGGCTGAGGACGTAGCCCTGAGAGCCAGCTGTTATGTGGATGCTCTGGCCACAATATAGGCGCCATGTTTATTCTCTAGGATTGCTTCTCCCCCTCCAGCTGTTCTCAAACAGTGCTAATTTAGGACTAATCTAAGTACATCAAGAGGCTGGGCAAGGCTGATATGGTCTTCAAGGCAAAGAAAGATGCATCTTTCACATGGTACTTGCCTCACCTTCTCGCCCTTTTCCCTATTAGAGATAGTCACAGAATGTAGTCTGTGGTTTTGGGCCAACTTCTCTGGGCTTTCCTAGCCCCTCATAGTCTGGTATTCAAAGGATTATTCTGGCACCTGAGAGGTGTCTTTGTGTCTGGGATACTGGGCTCTCTAAACCTGCCAAAGAAGTAGCCCAACCTATACACATGGAGCTAGATCCTTTAAAACATCTGGATAGAATCACTGCTCCATTTTTCAAATGGCCTCTTTGGCACTGACCTGGAAGGGTCCCTCATCCTCTTGCTTTTCCTTTCCAGTCCTGATTTCTAGAGTCTTAGTGAAATGTGTTTCTTTCTTTTTACCTACAGTTCTCAAGGCAGACTTCCTGGAGATGAGAGTTGAGGCCACAGGTATGTAGTCTCCACCCCCAATTACAGAACCTTGTTCCTTATAAGACTTCTTTATGGGATCTCAGTTTTTGAGAACTGGAATGTCATGTAGGTCCAGAAGGTGAGGACTCACCTCCATGCCTCAGTTCATTACTCTATAGTTGCATGACCTTTAAACTTAGTGCCTTTGAATTCAGAGGCTTTGTTTGATTATAACTCACCTTCCTCTTTCCTTTCTTTCTCCCCTAGCCAAACTGCAGTGTGGTTTTACAGATTGCATTTGAATCTAATTCATTAGGAATCCTAGGCTGTGACACTTTGGGCAAATACATTTCCTTCTCTGAGCCTCAGTTTCTCAGTCTGTAAAATGAGAAGGTTGGAACCTTCTAACTCTGACATCTTTTGAGTCTATAAAGTAAACTAGTAACTTCCCTTTTGATCTTATAGCAGGTACCCAAAGGCCACTTTAGTATCTGTAGAGAGACTTCATTCCTTTAGATCGAATGACTATTTCAGTCTTACCCACCTGAACCTTCATCCTTAGTTCTTTTTATTTGTCTAATGCAAAGCACTTTCACATCCATTATCTCATTAGATCCTCACATTCCAGAAGTAGGGAGGATAATATGTGTTCTAACACAACAAATAAAGTAACTGAAGTTCAGAGAAGATAAGTGACTTCCTTATCACTGACAGGAGACTCAGAAGTCAGGGAAATTCCTTTCTCTCCTAGGAGTTCTGATTGCTTGACCATTAGATTGTTGGCATGACATGAACCCGTGTACACATTAATGAGATCCAAGTATCTGGAACTTGGCCTTCCATGTTCTCCCTAGCCTTTCTTTTCTTCCTATCACTGCCGGTCCTCAGAGGTCCTTGGGTAGATAAGCTTCTTATCAGCCTCCATGGAGGTGAAGCCCCAGTAAAAGGAAGTTTGCAGTTATTGTAGGGTCAAAAAGACAATGGGCATGATGCAGGGAGGTAATCTCAGAGGTTCTAGTATCAGACTTCTGCTTTCCCAGGTAGACTTTTTGGTAATTAGAGTTAAGGTTGAAGGCACATAATCTCTAGCCCTGATTATAGCACTTTCGTAGGCCTGTTTCATGAGAGATCTGAGTTGTAAAGGCCTTTTTTTAGCCAGCCTCTAATGTTCAGAAGATTAGTTACCAATTGTAGGCTTAGCTACCTACCAAGAGAGGCCCCACCACTCAGTGACTGTTAAGTGCTTGGCCAGTCCTAGCTAATTCCCTACTGTCTTCTCTCCCTTTCAGGTTCTAAAAGCCTTGGCCTTGGGGGACCCTTTCCAGGTTCTTCAAACCCTGTGTGCAGAGTCATTTTGTGCTGAAGAGCAGCTCCTTTCTGGCCCTGCACCTTCAGGCTCTGGGAGGCCATAAAATAAGAGGCACATGTTCTAGACACATGTCTATTTTTTCTTTATATTCTGTCTTCATCTCCTCAGAAGGTCTATCTTGAGCTCCTGTAACACTGTGAATGGCTGGACTCCCTCAATCGAGACTCTGCTGAGACCAAGATATTCACTGACCTGAGTTGAAGAGGGAAAGCCAGTTTTCAACTCTTCTGTGAACTTCCTGCTTCCTTAAAAGGCCATCAAACTTTGAAAGATTTGGGGCAGAAGACCAATCTCAAGGGTTTACCCTGAAGTAAACGCCACTTGAGTTGGGGCCATTGCTTGCCTGGTTGAAGAGGAGTAGGAATGTTTGCCAAACATTGGAGAATCTTAACATGTCTCTTACTGAGGATATGGACACTGGTGCCAGACTGGCACTCTGATGCCGCAATATGTTGCCAAGAGTCTGTCTGCTCCCGTGGGGCCAGACAGCATGGTGATGCCCCATAAGCCCTCCATGTGGACTTTAGAAGATGGTTTTTGCATACAGCTACTTAGGACAAATCTACAAAGCACATTTTGTATGTCAAATCCTAGATCTCTTTGGATTATTCTTCCTCCTGTTTTCTCTCGACAGCTTCCTTTAAAAGCAATCAAGAAAAAAACAAAAGCTCAAAATATTTCTTTAAAAAAGACAGACTGTTTGTCCTGTAGGAGTTCCATTTTTGGGTCAAATGCTGGGAAAAATTGTTAAGATGGATTGAAGCCAGGCAGCTATCACTGTTGCTTCATGTTTGCCTTCTGCAGATAAGCTCTTTTATCTCCTGAAAGAGGTAGTTCTTAACCCACTGTCCATGGATTCAGGAACTCCCTGATGCCCCTGAGATGGTATGCAGAATTCCATGACAATATACCTTTTCTGGGGAGATAGTCTATAACATTCTACTGAATTTCATATGGGCCTGTGAGCCAATAAAGATTAAGAACCACAGCCCTTGAGATAAAAGACTCTTTTTACAACCCATAAAGTATTTGATGTAAAGGGCCTTTCCAAATTATTTAGCCTAACTGCCTAGTTTAGAGTTGGGGAAACTGAGGCAGAGAAAGTTAACAGCCACACCAGGACAAGATCCCAGGTTCCTGGGATCCAGTGCAAAGTTCTTTCCATCACACCACACTTATCTTTCAAGGGGACTTATGGTTGGTGGCTTTAGTGGCCATCATTTTCTGGGTTTGGCTTTTGCCTTCTCTCTTGAGCCCCACATATTTGCCACCAAGTGGGAAACTTGAAGGTATAAGCCCCTGGTCCCCTTCATTTACCATCTCAATCATTAGGAACTAAAACAAAATCAGTATAGTGGGCCATAAATCTGAGGCATAGACATTTCTGATTCATGTTTGTTGAAGGGAAGTTGCTGGAGAGAGTCAGAGCTTGTGCTCTCATGCAGATGCCTGGGCCATAGCCTGTCTTTAGGGTCTGTGTAAATATAACGTGGCATAGCATGAGAGAAAGAACTTTCCTACATTCTCCTCTAGCAAGGCCCTGCTAGTGCACTGATTGTAGTACTGAGAGAGAAACATAGATATGGTGAGAAGAGAGAGTGTACACATACATATGCCCAAATCAACTCTGAAATGCAATTGGAACAGTGTTGCTGAAAGGTGGTAGTCACTTTCAAGACTGAATTCCCAAAATTGTTTATTGGTGAATTAGGAACATGTAGGCCAAACACACCGAGAGCCTTTGTGAAATTAATTGAGTGGAAACTTAATGCCTTTCTAAATCAAGACATGCCCAGGTGGCCACATTAAACTGTATCCACTCTACCCAGTCTCAGAAGCCAAGTTGCTAAGAAGCCAGGAGCAAGAGAGCCAAGTGGCCATCATTCCACCTGCTGCCCACTCCCAAAGAGTGTCTCTATGAGGCCTGCTGGCCTCTCCCAGGAAGTGTTTGTTGAGCCCTGGTCTCAGAACTGTGGCCTCCCTGCTCTGTCCCTTTATATGACTACAGGCAGGTATGCAGATTTTGGCCACAGAAGTGGTGGCCAGTGGGGCATGAGTACTTTTGAAGATGCTAGACACATGTTTTGACTCTGGTTTTCTTGGGGGAAAATATCACAATCATCACTACAAATGTTGGAATATTATTGACAGCCAGAAAAAGCCACTGTGATCCCAGTAGAATAAGTGTCTCAGAAATGTGGCCATGAAATTGCTGTGTTGCCTAGGATACAGACCAAGAACCTAGCCTGGAGAGTTAGGACAACCGGTCTGGCTGGATGCCAGGGAGCAGTGGCTGGATAGTTCTGCCCTTGTGCTGAGCTATTCCCAAAGAATGCCAAAGAAAGAACCTCAGCGCCTCCCTTTGATACTGATTTAGAGAGCCAAAGCTGCTATGGTGAGGCACACTGTCATGTAATGAGACTGGCTCGGCCTAGGCATTCATAAGAAGCTATGGGAAGAGGGAGATAATAATTGAAGAGTGGCAACTATTGGAAATTATCAGCATACCTTGGTCACCAGGTTAAAGAACTGGCAACAGAGGAACTAAGTCTTGAACTGGCAGTGATAATAAAGGAGCAAAAATTTATTAAGCACCTACTATGTGATTTACATACATTATCTCATTTCATCCTTATAACAATCATGCAAGTATTCTCATTTTTACAGGTAAAGGAATTATGGCACAAGGGGCTAAAGTAATCAGCTCAAGGGCACACAGAAAGTAAAGTTAGCAGAAGTTTGATTTGAATCCAGGCCTCTTTGACTCTGTACCCCATGCTGTTTTCCCTTTGCTACACTGAGGTAGGTATTTGGACAGAGTCCACATTACTGGAGCTGGCATGAGTGTTGACTCTTGCCTGCCTAACAAAATATTAAAAGATGAGCATTTGAAGGAGGGAGGGTATGCAGTTCCAGTTTATAGGGGAATGAAAACTGGGCTGAAAGATATTTCTGAGTTGGGCTTTCTCTTCACCTTCTGTTTACCCATTTGGTAATGTTTTTAAAGAGATCATCTATCTGATTTTACCTTGTAAAGTGAAGGATTTTTTTTTCTTATTTTATTTTATTTTATTTTTTAATTTATTATTAACATATTCATTCTTACAAATCACTATATTTCTTTATATCCTTTGCCCGACCTGTTGCTTCCCAAACCCCCTCCGTCCCTCCCCCCATCTCTAGCATCCTTAGGTCTGTTCTCTCCTTCTGAAAGTTCAATGTATTATTGCGGTCATTTCTTTCTTTCTTCTGTTCTTCCTTCCTTTTTTTCTTTCTTTCTTTCTTTCCTTCTTTTTCAGTACCCAGTTATGAATGAGGACATGCAGTATTTCTCTTTCTGTGTCTGCTTTATTTCACTTAACATAATTTTCTCCAGGCTCATCCATTCTTTTTTGTGGCCCAGTAGTATTCCATTGTGTAGATATACCACAGTTTCTTTATCCAGTCATCCGTCAATGGACATTTAGGTTGGTTCCAACTCTTGGCTGTTGTAA